CAAAGAAATGCTGATGGAGAATGTGTGCTAGTTATCAATATACAAATATTGCTCTTGACTCATTTCTAGAATTTACAAAGTGTGCTTGCAAAAAGAATAAATGTGAGGGACTGTCATGCTCATGCTTCAAACGTGATCTTCCCTTTATAGGATTGTGTAACTGTGTACATTGTGAGAATCAAGCTATTCATTCTGTGGTTATTGATAATTTTGATGGTGATGACCTTTAAGTAATGGTTTTATATGTGTTATAATGTATCATCAGTTGTTTTCATTAGAATTCATTAACAGTCATATTAAGTGTATGAATGCTTGCTTTACTTTTTTAGGTTCATGGTATTGAAGGTCTTTCTTTAATAAGAAAACGTTTAATTAGTTTCATTGCTTCTTCACATACACACATATGTGCATATTAGGAATGTTATATGCTTTGTGCAGAGATATTTTCACACATTCAAGTGTATGTTAAAGGATGGAATGAGAGGATTTTGTACATATTTTTCTATCTTAGTAATCAAAATATTTCCTCAAACTTACCTTATTGTTCAGTTCCATTGGTTCTTTAAAAATACCCAGACATTAGTCTTGGTCCCAGACAGTCAGGTCTTGGTCCCAGACAATAGTCTTGGTCCCAGACAATAGTATTGGTCCCCAGACAGTCAGGTCTTGGTCCCAGACAATAGTCTTTGTCCCAGACATTAGTCTTGGTCCCAGATAGTCAGATCTTGGTCCCAGACAATAGTCTTGGTCCCAGACATTAGTCTTGGTCCCAGACAGTCAGGTCTTGGTCCCAGACAACAGTCTTGGTTCCAGAAAGTCAGGTCTTGGTCCCAGACAATAGTCTTGGTCCCAGACATTAGTCTTGGTCCCAGACAGTCAGGTCTTGGTCTCAGACAACAGTCTTAGTCCCAGACAGTCAGGTCTTGGTCCCAGACAATAGTCTTGGTCCCAGACAGTCAGGTCTTGGTCCCAGACAGTCAGGTCTTGGTCTCGATCTTGGACCGACACATTTGATGTTGGTCCTGTTCTTGGACTTAGTGGTCTCTATTACATCATTGAACACTACAATACATAGATGAAATATTAGTCACCTAGATTATGGATAATTAAATAGCTGTAGTTGGCAACTCTACTTCTGGATATAAAGAATTTGGTTATTTGGATTCCAGAGGAGTACATTTATTTTTGGTAATTTGTTTCTGGATAATTAAAACTGTATTACCTGGGTTCTGGATGAATATATATTTGGTAATTTTTATTCTGAGCATCTTGCATCTCAGCTGAACAGGTCCTTGATGATTACAATTTTGGGTTATGTAGTCCTAGAAAAATTACAATTTCAGTTAACTGAGTTTTGTTCTTACAATCTTGTTTAATCGGAGTCTAGATAAATACAATATAAAGTACGAGCGTCTTGGAGAATAAAGTAAATGTATCGGCTAAAATGTTGCATCTCGCCACTATCTTGTTTATATATTACAAATATATTGCCATCATGTATCCCCTTTACTCTGAGAATATAAATATCCCCTCCCCCAGTAATGAAAAAAAAATCTAAATAATATATATATATATATATATATATATATATATATATATATATATATATATATATATATATATATATATATATATATATATATATATATATATATATATATATATATATATATATATATAAGCATATCAGTTAAAAACATTGGGAACATGCAGAAAAGTTCCTAAGTGTTGAATCTAATGCCTATACTTATAGATTGTGGCCATTTTCATAACATTGTAAGTCTGTCACAGACTAGGAAAAAATGTGTATTTAATCATGAATATGTCTCAAGTATTATGTGCCATATCTTAATTGTCAGTTCAAATATCTGTTTTACATACATGTTTCTGTTTATTTAACTTTGGTATGTAATCACATACAGGTATATGATACAAATACAACCTTTTTGCCTCAAGGATGTAATGGGTATTACAGCTGTTCTCTCCTCTAGTTTCATCCTACTTACAAATGTATAATAAACACAGGTGTCTCAACAGATGCAACTTCCACGTAGGACGAAGAAATAAAATACCACTGACGTAAATGAGGCATAAAGTACCATACAGTTCAACTAAGAATGTTAGTCATACAAAATATCTCACATCCTTAAAATTCTAATAGTTTTGAAATGTTGGGCTCTAAACTCTCGCAAATGTTTTATTTTCAGACTACAAAACTTGCATTCACTCAGATTATCACATAGCATCTACATCTCAGTAAGCAATAGTGTTGAAGAAGTGAACATCACACTATAGAATAGAGAGACTTCAGGTAATGAGAGGAAAGGAGGCTGACTTCGGTGGGATAGTTAAGCAAGAGTTGTGTGCAGGTAAAACGCTTGACAGAGTTAAGGGATTCAAAGATTGGCCTGGAAAGTATAACCCATATTTACAAATAAGGATTTCAGATTGGGAATAGCTAAGATGGTCAAGCCAATCACAAGTCCAAGGTCCATGAACCTAGTATGGACAGCAAGTTAGTTTGTGAAACTGACCACAATACAACAAGTAGGGGTGAACCTGGACATGCATAAAGCAACACCAACTTAAAAACAGCATCTATCATGATGCCCTTACTATATCTGGCATGGGAGTGTCTTAGAACTTCTTAACCTCAAGAGAAAACTGAAGTAGAAATATACACATTTGTTGTGTACTGTAGTTTGAAGTCATCCACCTATACCTGAAGTCCCCTTATTGTATAGCACCCCACAACAAGGACGGCTTTCCTTAGTCATGTATTTTTCACTTGTTTTATATTAAATCCTGAATTAACATCTGTACAATCAAAAGTTAGCAAAATGGAAATTGGGGTTTAGCATGCGGCTATTTCATGCATAAATTTTTTTCCATTTAAAAGTGAGATTTTTTTATATTTTTAAAAATGGAACTCGCCCTTGTAGTGGCCTTAAATCCCCAAACTGTTGCGTCTAATTTCATAGCGAAATTGACTCAACCTCAGTATGTCTTAACCCCTAAATGAGCTCTAAGAAAGTCTAAACTAGCACTCCTGACTGGTCAGGACATTTGTTTACAAATGCACACAAATATTCTACAATTGGACCTTGAGACCACAAACACCATTTGGACCACACAGACCCCCTAGACCATGAGCCTAGAATGACCAAAAAGGTTATCTACCATTACGAACACCATCTTGGTCAAGTGAGTAAAAGATTTCTGGGGCAACCATCCAGAGAGAACAATTGGTTCACAAAGAATGATTTATTCACAAAAACCACAAGAACACCCAGCTATGATAGATCTCTTAGGCATGAGGACCACCTAAGTTACCGAAAGTCGAACTGGATGAAGCATCATTTGACTATGAGAACCATCTGGCCCACACTGGTCACCCAGGTCACAAGGGCCATGGATACTACTTAGGCTACAAGGACCACCTGAGCCACAAGAACCACAAAGACCACCTGCACCATGAAAATCACCTGAACCACGAAGACCATCTAGGCCACATGACCACCTGGGCCACACAGACCACAAATACCACACCTGGGCCAAAGAGCTCCAGGGTGATTGAGGGTGGCAAGAGACAGTTGTTGGGGAAGCCCCTTGTTGCCGTCTGTGGGGCTGGTCAGGACAATTACAATCTGGGCTCTTATATGTTGTAATCATTTATTGAACACCCTAAATTACATAAACTATATAATTTTTCATGGTTGAACAATTTATAACATTAACCATACTGTTCCATGCCACCCTCAAAAATTATTTACGATTCCCTAATACCTAAATGGAATCCATATTGATTATGTTGTTGAGTGCTGCACGATCCATTGTCACTGCGGCATTAAAAAGGAATAAGGAAGTCAAATACATTTTCAACATTACAATAAATTATATATATATATATATATATATATATATATATATATATATATATATATATATATATATATATATATATATATATATATATATATATATATATATATATATATATATATATATATATTTGTGTGTGTATATGAATATAATCACAGCATATAAAATTGTTAAGTCCACAACAAACGTTCCAAATAAACTTTAGCAATCTACACTTAAGAACAAAGGCAGAATACACCATGCAAGGTGGACACAGTTACTGGCTCTACTCTACAAAAATATCATCCGTTTCACACTGAGTTACAATTCTAGGTGGACTATATGATATATGCATTAAATGTATGAAATATACAGTGAATATTCACATATAAAAAATAACAGCCCAACTTTAAGTTTGAATTTAGAGATACAGCAAGGATGAGAGGTGCCATCAAGAGGGTGGTCAGCAGTAGTGTCGTCACCTTCTCTTAGCAGAAAGAAAGTATAAACAGCTATGTTTGGTGATTCATTGTGTGAATTAACATTTAGGATTGTAGTAGAGTAACCCTCCATGTTCTCATAACAGCAAAAATGGAAAAGCTGAGCTTGGTTTTCAATCTCTCATGAGAGTCAGATGTTAAGCTTCTACGTGAACCTGCATAAACAATATAAACTGAGTGTGTGTGTTTATTTGTTGATGTATATATATATATATATATATATATATATATATATATATATATATATATATATATATATATATATATATATATATATATATATATATATATATATATATATATATATATATATATATATTGAATTTTAAGAAGTTAAATGAAGAAACAACTAAACCCATGTTATTGCAAAATGTTTTTCTCATGGAAGAAAGAATGAATCTATAATATAAACTTTAGGTGAGTCCGAACACTCAACTCTCATGAGAATATTTATTCTCGTAAGAGTGGGGGAGAAATTTAGAATGAGGTTACCTTGGACATCTACTACAGAACATAGGGATCATCCTTGGAGAACCCAGGCCATATCAGCATCAGCTTGATCTATTCATTAGATTTCATCTTCTTTATACTACAGCATGATACATGATGAATTTTTAGGGGTGATAAGTAAGAAATGTGTAAAAATGTGTACATATATTTATTGCAAATATATACCAATTAGTTTTCCAAAGATGTCATTCCTATGATGATGATGGCATGTTAATGTGCTCCATGCATACATTTACAAATGTGCCTGAATGTACTAAGTAAACATTAATCATCATATGTACATGATTATGTCTTTATTGTGAGAGAACATCAAGAGAGGGACACAATCAGACTTGTCCACTCACATCAAGGATATATTATATTTGTGTTCATTTAAACCCTCTCTCAGAGACTCTCGTCTGAGCTTATCATACTAACCAATTTATCTATATGAGTTTTGAGCTGTTTGTAATCAGATATTTATTGCTAGATCATTTTTACCACAAGAAATAAAAAAATCTAAGTTCAATAACCAGTCTATGGAAGTTTTGTTTTGAACAGTACTGCACCATAAGGCTACAATAGTAGAACATGTCACAAAACACATGTAACTCGTAGAATGAAAAGCACTTATGAAATAATGATTATGAAGACAATTCAGACTAAGTTGGGTTGTACAAGTAAATGTCCATGAAACTTATCAATTAGGATCTACAGTGATATAAAAACAGGAAATGTTAATTTTATTTACAACATGGAGAGCAATAGTGAAGTGATGACTCAGATTAAATAATCATGAATCACATGCCAATATAGTGGCTATACAGCAAGTCTGCCTGTCACATGTCGTGTCCTTACTGACACACACTTTGTAAATAGTTTGGCTAAACACATGGGCAAAGCAGATGACGAAGTTGTCATAAATATTATCAAAAATTATCTTTGTTTCCATATAAAATGAACTGAGATTTACATCAAATTCTACTGACAATAAATAAACATAAAATCTCTGGGTTGCAGACGGTAGGTTTACAAAAAAGCCATAAACTCAGAGGACTGTGATTTTGTTGAGTGTCTTATCCCTGGACTGTGGCAGAGTTGGTGGATGAGGGAGTGTGAGGCTGGAGCTGTGTGAGGGGCTGCTACTGTAGATTAAGGTTTCATCTGAGGGGAATTGTAAGTGCTAGCAGCAGGATTGAGGCAAGGAGGTGAGGTGGGATAAGAGTGCATCCTCCATTGTCACCCTCTCGTCTCAGCTTGTACCCACTGTCAACAACGTGGATCTTCCATCCCAGGTTACGGTGCGTGTAACACTGTAACGAGAAATTAAATTTGAGAATAAGTGTATTAATTCATAATCATTCAACAAGGTAAATGTAACGTGGGGGTGTTGATGGTACATCATATGTTCAACAACATATTTGATCTTTGGCTGTGACTATCCTTTGACACAGACTTAATTTTTGTGTTAATTTTTTTTCTAGTGATGATATACTGTATATTCTTGTGTACTGAAGTTGGGTACAGCGGTAACCTGCATATCTCCCACCATTTGGTCCTGGGTTCAATCTTCAGCCCAGGACAGATGTGAGAAAGGTGTTATCCAGTGTGACACAGCCAAACATGGCAGGTTTTCTCCGAAGTTCATAAGAAAGTAACAGAGAAGAGACCAACCATAATAAGGGCAAATAAGCTGATATAAAGCAAAATTATAAATAATTAAGACAAATAAAAAAATAAGATAAAATAAATAAGTTGTGCTCTGGGTAAAGTTTTCATCTCTGACTTTCCTGTGGTCTCAATCTTTGACATAGAGGTTAGAATATGATGTTCTGTACTTGGCTCTGTAATGAACCATAACATACAGTTTCATCAAAACAATTGTAGCCATATAAATGTTATCATTGAATCAGGAAGAATAGGATATTTATAAAATGTTATTTTGCACATATGACAGTGATAGAACAGGTGGTGGAAAATAATATTTTCATGTCAATTGTTGAGTTTCATTGGCAAGCCTTATAGGTAAGTAAGCACTCCTGACACCACCTCCCATAGTAGTATGTTAATTTTTAATGTCTCAAAGTGACTGACATTTTCAGTGTTCTGGTCATTCTCCAAAGACCATAATATTGTAAGTCTTTGTGCTACTTAAATACAATCCAGTATGATAATTTACAACAAAGAACATTTCTATCAAGTTTCATTAAAACCATATTTAAAAGGACTTATACTGATCCCCCACAAGATACAACTCCATCTAGTGGCTGAATTTGTGCCTTGTCATGGTGTTGGGGTAAAACAAACCACTTTCAAATACCTAGGGAGGGTATAAAGTTCCCATCTTGTAACTTTAGATGAGGAGGTTTAAAGTGGATCGTCGCTAAACATGCAAATTCCTCAGGTGATGATCTGGTTTTTTACCAGAGTGAAGTATGAGCGGCCTCTACACCCCATAGTTCATTTCCAACCTTTTCAACTCCTTTTAATTAGTCTTCTGTTGAGGAAAGGTTTGAGGCATCCATGTTCATTAACTTTATCTCTTGCCCTTAGCATCTCAGGGGGCACTACTCAGTTGAGTGTCCTTACTTGGAGCTGGCGGACGCTCGCCCCACAAGGGGTCACAGCTCAAGATTGAACAAGCCGCAAGTCCAGAAAACCGTGAGGGCAAACGTTTTCGGAGTGAGGGTTGTAAACTCTTGCAACAATCTACCAGAGAGTGTTGTGACGGCACCGAGTGTGAGCTCTTTCAAGGCAAGACTTGACCAACACTGGAGCGGGTTCAGGTCCATTCAGGAGCCGGTGCATGCCCAGTATTTGCCAACAGTGCGTGACAGAGACGTGACCGATCTCCCGGGAGGCTAGCGAGCCGATCTTTTGGTGAAGAAGATAAATGAAAAGAGACGTGACCGATCGCTCAAGCGGCTAACAAGCTGATCAGTGGCGAAGAGGATAAAAGTAAGAGCCATGGACAGACACAATAAACGATTTTCGGGCGTTCCTCTTGGATCCTCGTCACCTACAAGTCCAACCGCATTGCCTCCCGCCCTTGGACATTATACACAACTATGAAGACATAACACTAGTACTGACCATGGGAGAAGCTTGAGACATAACACCAGTACTAACCATGGGAGAAGCTTGAGACATAACACTAGTACTGACCATGGGAGAAGCTTGAGACATAACACCAGTACTAACCATGGGAGAAGCTTGAGACATAACACCAGTACTGACCATGGGAGAAGCTTGAGACATAACACCAGTACTGACCATGGGAGAAGCTTGAGACATAACACTAGTACTGACCATGGGAGAAGCTTGAGACATAACACCAGTACTGACCATGGGAGAAGCTTGAGACATAACACCAGTACTGACCATGGGAGAAGCTTGAGACATAACACCAGTACTGACCATGGGAGAAGCTTGAGACATAACACTAGTACTGACCATGGGAGAAGCTTGAGACATAACACCAGGACTGACCATGGGAGAAGCTTGAGACATAACACTAGTACTGACCATGGGAGAAGCTTGAGACATAACACCAGTACTGAACATGGGAGAAACTTGAGACATAACACCAGTACTGACCATGGGAGAAGCTTGAGACATAACACTAGTACTGACCATGGGAGAAGCTTGAGACATAACACTAGTACTGACCATGGGAGAAGCTTGAGACATAACACTAGTACTGACCATGGGAGAAGCTTGAGGCATAACACCAGTACTGACCATGGGAGAAACCTGAGACATAACACTAGTACTGACCATGGGAGAAGCAGAACCCATAACTTGCAGTGCTAACCATGGGAGAAGCTTGAGGACATAACACCAGTACTGACCATGGGGGCTTGAGACATAACACAGTACTGACCATCAGGAGGACACATAACACCAGTACTGACCATGGGAGAAAGCTTGAGACATAACACCAGGATGACCATGGGGAGAAAGCTTGAGACATAACACTAGTACTGACCATGGGAAACTTGAGACATAACACCAGTACTGACCATGGGGCCAGGATATAACACCAGGACTGACCATGGGAGAAACGAGACATAACACCAGTACTGACCATAAATGGGGCTTGAGGCATAACACCAGTACTGACCATGGGGAGAAGCTTGAGACATAACACCAGTACTGACCATGGGAGAAAGCTTGAGACTATAACACCAGTACTGACCATGGGAGAAGCTTGAGACATAACACAGTACCGACCATGGGCTTGAGACATAACACCAGTACTGACCATGGGAGAAGCTTGAGACATAACACCAGTACTGACCATGGGAGAAGCTTGAGACATAACACCAGTACTGACCATGGGAGAAGCTTGAGACATAACACCAGTACTGACCATGGGAGAAACTTGAGACATAACACTAGTACTGACCATGGGAGAAGCTTGAGACATAACACCAGGACTGACCATGGGAGAAGCTTGAGACATAACACCAGTACTGACCATGGGAGAAGCTTGAGGCATAACACCAGTACTGACCATGGGAGAAACTTGAGACATAACACCAGGACTGACCATGGGAGAAGCTTGAGACATAACACCAGTACTGACCATGGGAGAAGCTTGAGACATAACACCAGTACTGACCATGGGAGAAGCTTGAGACAACACCAGTACTGACCATGGGAGAAGCTTGAGGCATAACACTAGTACTGACCATGGGAGAAGCTTGAGACATAACACTAGTACTGACCATGGGAGAAGCTTGGGACATAACACTAGTACTGACCATGGGAGAAGCTTGATACATAACACCAGTACTGACCATGGGAGAAACTTGAAGCGTTCCATTACTGTACCTGGTAGTAAACAAGGTTTGGAGTGTCCTCATCCACAGTCCACACCAGAGAGCCTGGCAGACCTGGATCACAGTCCTTATACAGTGTTTCCTTGTATTCTTCAAATGTTAAACTGTCTTCCCATGCATCCATGCCAATATGCCTCCACTTACACAAACGTCCAGCTGGAAAATATTTTACTGAATGAACAATAGAATGAAAATACCAATAAAACCAGGTTCTGGCAGTGTGGTAGTGAAGGAAACACGACTAAAAGGTGGAGCTTTGTTCCTGACGTTTCCCCACAAACCCTTATCAAATTATTCCTTGGATAAGGTCTTGTGACAAAACGTCAGGAATCACGCTCCACTTTTTAGTCGTGTTTCCTTCACTACCCCACTACCATCTGTCCACTACGAACAATGTTCAAAACCAGGTTCAATAAAGTAAAAAGTTGCTGTACCATTTATCAGATAAAATGCTTATTTTACAATAATTCAGAATAGATTCACTTTAATATGATCATTATTATCACATCAAGAGCAGATTCATATAACATATTTATCATGAAAACAAGATATCATAAATAATTTGTACTACAAAAACAAAATGTTTACATTTACAAAATGTTAAAATGTCTAACTAACCTGCAGTTGCTTCGGGCATGCCCATCTTGGAGTATGAGACACCAGCAAATACTTGTTCTTGGCTTTGTTCCTCAACTGTCTTCTGACCAAAGCCGCCCTCATGGGAGGAGGTAATATACAGTGGATGGTACCTGAGGGTAGAGCCCAACAAATAATGTCTTTCACATTACCACAGCTATCTACTACAACATTGCCTAGACATTGGAGGTATTTTTATATTGGGGAACAAGTTCCAATTAGTGAATCCAAAAACTGCGTACCACCAAACTTCAAGTGTGTCATGGTAAAGTTTAAAAGATTTTATACAGAACCTCAGATGCTTTATTTGTCACTTAGCTGAAAACATTTGAATCTGATACCAGTACAGGTATTTGCATTTTGAAATACGGACATTCCCAATTTTCATAAGGGCTATTTTCCTGAAATCCTTTTGTAAATTGATTTTTCAAAAATTATATCAAAATTTCCCCATAGACTCCCATCACAAAGTAATGTACTGACTGAGACCTGCCTTCAGAACACCTTTGAGCCTGAAGGTGAATGCAAGTTAAAAACAAACATTACCCAAGTTGGCTACTCAAGGAGTTGCAGCAAGCAGACAAGGCACAGTATGAGTTTGGTACTCGAAGTGTACAAGTGGGGACACTACTACTCACTACTTTGCTGTCACTCGGAATCGAGTATGACGATCATTCAGCTATGATACAATGACATGAGTTATTAAGGATGCCTCCTTCATTGGTGAAGTCTGAGGTGACTAAAGAGGCCGATACGGAGATCGGCAGGGTCGTCCACAGATGTGGAACGTGTGGAGGGCTACATCTATTGCGGGAAGGGAGGCGGCAGCGTTTTTCCGGCCCTGGCGCTTGTCTGCCTCGGTATGCAGTTGTGCTAACTCAAAGTATTGACACCCTTTTGTGTGGTGATTCTCCAAGCATTATGGTGTGGAGTAATCGTCTCCCAGGTGAGGGGGTCGATTTGGCACTTTTTCAGGTTTGTCTTAAGACTATCCTTATACCTTATCAGTTGCCCGCCAGCGTTACGTTTACTACTAGTTAGGTGACTGTAAAGTAGCTGCTTTTCCAGTCTACTGTCGTCCATGCGGGGTAACATGGCCAGTTCAGCATAGTTGTTCATGGAGAATGGTAGCCTCGATGCTCCTACAGTTGGTTTCAGTGAGAATACTGGCATTTGTTTTCAGCGAATTCGGAAGATGGAACGTAGACTACGTTGGTGAAAGTTTTCAAGTGCCTTGAGGTGCGTCCTGTACGTGATACATGTCTCGCTGCCATATAACAGAGTAGGGAGGACAACTGTTCGATATACGTGCAACTTTATAGATAATTTCAGCTCCCTACAGCTGAAGACACAGGTGCGGAGTCTGCCAAAGGCTTGAGATGCATATCTGATCTGATGTTGAATTTCTTCATCGATGTCCGCAGTGATGGACAGGTGGGAGCCAGATACCAAAAGTGAACAAGGGCGAGGTCGTCTGTATACTGAAGTTCAGTAATGGAAGCTGCCGATATATTTGTTCCTACCTGGAGTCGTCTTATGTTGAAAAGACCCTTCATCCGGTACTGGATGTCCACCCCGCCGGCAAAAATTGGCACTGGCACGAGTAAGGAAAACAGCCAAGAAAATGGAAAAGAGAGTTGGTGCCAGTACACATCCCTGTTTCCCCTATTTATTCTCCAGGAGATAGTAGAGACGGCTGGTAAGCAGAGGTCCGCCTGCTTTATACATCTCGGCTGGGATTCCATCAGGCCCTGAGGCTTTGTTGATTTTCATCTGTTTGATGACAGGAGCTACCTCATCCAGGGATGGAGGATAGCTGAGGTGGGTCAGCTCTGGATGTTGAGGGACCTGCTGGGTAGTCAGGACATCCACGTCGGTGTTTCGGTGGAGCAGCGAATGGCAGTGCTCTTTCCAGCGCTGAAGGATGCCTTCATCGTCATCTCACTCATCGTAGACTTAACCTCTGCTGATACATGGTGGTACAGAGGTAATCTTTGATGAGCTGTAGTTTGACGAACCTTCTCTTGGCAGTAACTGTAGTCCCAGTAGTGTACAAGTGAAGCAACTATTTTACATCGCTGAGAAATGATTTGTACACCGGCTGTGCACTGAAGGTACTACACACAGTTTTTATCTTGGTAATCTCTTTTACTGTACAAGCACTACATAAAACACAAACATTTTAACTTTTTTTTAAAGTAAAATTATCGACTTTAACGATACATACAATTTCCTTCACATGTTACTGAACCTACAGACAATGATCTCACAATAAACAACCGGTTAAAAAAACAATACATAATACCAAATATGTTTACTAGTTAATATTTTAATTAATATCACAAATTTATTTATATTGTAATATTTAATACATAAGTAAACAAGTGCACTTTATGCTACAATCTACCATACTTAATACTGTGCAAGATACTGTTCTTACTTGGCACTGTTGAGGCGATCATTGCCGCCATGGACGGTGAAATAATATGTCTGGCCACGTTCAACATATATCTCTGGGATGAGCATGTCGTTTATCCACCAGGCAATGTCCCAGGACGGAGAGTCTGCAACACCACCATCAAACGTCATCAAGGGAGCAATACGTCAAAACAAAATAAATTACAAGGTAAGGTAAGGTAAGGTAAGGTAAGGTAAGGTAAGGTAAGGTGAAAGAAAGAAAATAGTAAAGGTAAGGATAGGTAAAATAAATTTAAAAAGCAAGGTGTAAGTTAAGGTAAGGTAAAATAAAGTAAAAATTGAAGGTGTAAGGTAAGAGAAAGTAAAGTATAAGGTGTAAGGCAAACAGCAAGGTGTTACAATATGAATTCTGTTAAGTTTTCCCTGGCACATTATTACACCATCTTCTCATTGTATCAATAAAAAACTGAATCATATATGAAAATAAACATATATTAATACAGTAAGTACAAAGCTGCAACATTTATATAAAACATAGCCATGGTTTCTCCACCTACGTGAACCTCAAACTTCCCTCATTGTCATAGTTTAATTTAATTACAAACTGTTTTATTACAATATTCAGGGAATATTCTTATTTAATTGATTTAAATGAGCAAAAGTAGCATGAAAATGTACAACAGATAAATGGGTAATATGGAGATATATAAAATATGTGTAAAAGATGGTGTTGGTGATGAAGTACAGCATTCTAACACTAATGTGTCCTACCAAACACAGAGGTTTTATCTGGATACTAAGGTTAGCTCCTCTACAAACGTTGGACAACAGTACCAAAAAGACAGGTCAACTGCCTGAAAGGCTAATAAGCTGAAATGTGGTGAAATTATTACAAAAAGTCTATTAGCAGACCTTTCCCAGTTAAGTTCTTAGAAACTAAATTTCACTACAAATATTTATCTACTTAGACTTGGTGGCACACGCATGCTTAGTATTCTCCAGGCACCACGCTATGTCTGGGGATTTACTGAAGAATTATATAATTGTTTCAGTACCTGTGTTGTCAATTTGTGAAATGTGGGAGAAGGACTGACCTGATTATTCTTTTATGGCTAAGCGTGTAACTAGTTGGCTCTAGCTATGCTCACTAAGTCATCAGGAAACCTTAATATCAGTGACCAGGACTAATGAGAATTATTAGTACAGTATACAATGTTTTCCTAAAAGCAACTGCAGCCTTAAAAAAGTTAAAGGACTGTACAACCCAAAGATGTGCACAAGACAACATAATGTATCATGTATGGAATGTCTGAACAAAGTATAAAAGAATGCCTACGAGGTATTGTAATATTTCAGAGAATAATTGAGAGAAAGTTGGAGTAGTTCAATTTTCACCCTTTTAGTACAGTATATCCTAGGAGGAGAGCGACTGAACAGGTAGTGCTGTAGCTCCCACAGTCCTAAGTGAACTCACTGACAATGGCCATCAGGACCCTGAAAGAACTGCGATGTTGTTGAAACATGAGAGTAAATGCTACTGGCGTGGGTTATATGGGCATGTTATCAAGTATTGATGGAGGTGTCACGGATGTATTTTACCTAAGGCAACTGTAACCAGTGGCGGATTAACAAAAGGGCAATACAGGCAGTTGCCCCAGGGATTCCAGATGTTAGAGGTTAGAGGACCGAGAGACCCAGCGATGAATTAATTAGGGACAGTATATGTTCCAACACTTTCTGTATTAATAAGAAAATTGAAGCATGCTTCTTAGTTCTTACCATGCTCAGCAATTTTAGTACCAAAATTTGTGCGCATAACATATGGGATAAGAGTATAACTGTTATCAATATATCACAGCTTGTTACTGTGTTGCCTCAGGACCACATCTGTTCTTAACCTTCCCGTGACTGTACCTGAAGTATGGACCCTCATGGAGTCACTGGGGGGATGCAGCCATTTGAGGTGTTGGTAACAAACTTGACTGGGACCATCAAAGGCTGATAGGGAAAACATACTGGTTAGAACAGATGTTTTATTCTAAGAACATCCAGACATCTGTGACTCATGACCTGAGGACATCAACAGTGGCCCAAGTCTTAGTAGGTTGATGAAATGGTCATAATCTGGGGTACAATAATAACAATAAAAGAAGTGTGTGAGGCTGGTTGGGTGAGAATGGGGTCCAGGACTCTTGCTCTTGGGAGCAAGAAGAACAAAAGCAGGTGATCTTGAACTAGGTGAGACTCACCCTCTTGATGTAATCACTAAATCCCACACAACAGCCATATACAGTACAGTACATCACAGGGCAAAGATCTAATGTTTTCTCTGAATGGTTACAGTAGGTCTGTCGAGTGAAACTTATTGTGCAATACATTGAACAGCAAGAGGAAAAATTAACGCCTCTGCCTTGTCCTGATCTGATTCTGCATAACTTCCATATTCAAGTCTCAGATCTGATACGTGAGCGTGTCCTTAATTTTGATTTTGCGTCACAGTAGACAGCCTTAGGTTTCACTTGGTCTCGTTTATAGTCAGCCTCTGTAAACTTTGACTTGGCTTCGTTCCTGGATCTAGCATGCGTACTTCTGTCCTGCTCATCATTTGTCGCGACCCATATCTTGAAATGTTTAGATTTTTTTTATCACTGCCTACAGCCACATCGCTCATATGTAACCATTCCTATAAGTTCTGGAGTCAGTGGGTTTACTTTACTTTACTTTACTCTATTCTTTTCCCCAATGTTTGCCGCATGGGTGGTCGGTCAGGTCTCTGTTACACACTATTGGTAAATACTGGGCATGTACTTGCTCTACAATGTATCTGAACCTGTGCCAGTGTTTATTTATCTATCATTTCGCCACTTATCAGCTTACTAGCCGTTCAGGCGGTTGATCTATGCCTGCTTGATGGGGAGGGCGAGACTGTTGCTATATCTCGTGCAGCAAGTATTATACGTCGTGAAGTCTTCGCCAAATCTTGTCCAAAATTAAATCGAGTTTTGAGAAGATTGCCAACAAAATTCTGTCCCACAATCTCTTGTAATTCTTGTTTCTGTGACTCTCTTTGGAACTAACATAATAAAACAAAACAAGTTAACTATGACTCCCAAGCAGGGCCGTCCCTAAGAGGCTGCGGGGCCCGGGGCAACTCAGCCACTGCGGGGCCCGGGGCAACTCAGCCACTGCGGGGCCCCAGAAAATATATATATATATGGAGTCAGATTATGCGGTCAGAGGAACCCACCCCCACCAACCCCCATGGGACTGTCGCTATGGATGGTAAGGTCACGGTTGCGATGGTGGCGTAAGCCGTCAGGTCAGATTAACCAGTCAACAGGTAATGTGTCCGAGGTCACTGGGTCTAGTGCTGGGCCCCGCGGGGCCCCTACACGCGCGGGGTCCCGGGCGGTCGCCCCTGTTCGCCCCCCCTAAAGGACGGGCCTGCTCCCAAGAAGCACTGTCTTTGGCACTGTTGCTGGTTTACAATATTGTTCATTCACAGAGAGCAACACCAGATGCTCGACACAGTCGTGAACGAGAATCACCTTTACCTCTTTTTCTTGGAGCATATGTGTATGCTAAGCCCAGGTCTAAGGATTTGAATGACACTCTTTACCAGATGGGGCTATCTGTGTCCTATGATAGGGTCCTGAGTATGTCTACAGATCTGGCAAACTCTGCTGTTGCTCACATTGAAGCCTCGGGAGCTGTATGCCCACCTACTCTCAAGACTGGTGTGTTTACTACCTCTTCACATGATATGTACAGAAATGATTTTTGATGAGTGGCAAAATGTTAATAATTTTGAAGTAATATTTCATATGCAGCATGTTTTATATGTGTTTTGTTCCTAGCCACTGAAGAGTGTTTTAGTTAAGCTCTAGTTATTTCTTCACATGATATTTACAGATAGGATTTTGATATATGTGACAGAATGATAATAATGTTTGAAGTAATACGAGTATTTCATATGCAACGTGTTTTATGGGTGGTTTGTTCCTTGCCACATAAGTGTGTTTTACTTACTTAAGCTCCAGTCGTTTTATCTGATTTGATTCCATTAGTAATGTTTTAGTCACTATCTGGGTATTTCATGTAAATTATTTGTAATAATAGCAGGTATCATTTCTTTATTTGTTAGAGCTAAAGAACATTATTTATAAATTTCATAATTTATCAATACAGTTTGACTATACTTATATGTACTGTATATCTTAACCCTACAATAAACATTGTGATGAAAATATAATTAATTATGTTTAGTATATATAAATATATATATATATATATATATATATATATATATATATATATATATATATATATATATATATATATATATATATATATATATATATATTTCATGTAAATCCACAATGAAAACGTTTCCATTTTTCCCGTGTGGTTTTTATCAAGATATATATATGCTGATAACCACAAGGAAAGAAGAAACACGAAGTGTTTTCTTCTTTCCTTGTGGTTATCAGCATATACCTAGATCACGCGCACCTACAGTGATTTACTTGCATATATATATATATATATATATATATATATATATATATATATATATATATATATATATATATATATATATATATATATATATATATATATATATATATATATATATATATATATATATATATATATATATATATATATATATATATATATAAGGCAGAAATCTTGTAAAAACATATGACTGACATCACCTATATGAAAAACATTTGCTTTATTGTATTTCTTGACCCTAAGAACCTGGGTATTAACACCAAAAGTAATTCTGTAGCTCACATATTAAGCGAGATATTGCCGATCACATTTGGGCGAAGTGGCCACTTTGAAAAATGGCTGCCAACACTGTCCACACCCAAATCCGGTTGGGGAACAATCTTCAAATTGACCTTTGTGGGTCTTAGTAACTGTATTCCAAATCTCATATTTGTATCAAAAAGTACACGAATAGCCCCAAAATGAGCCTTAAGCAACTGGACTAACTGACCTCTTCATAGTGGAAGCCTTGTATCAATACCAAGTAAAGCCATCCAGTTGTGACATGGCTTCCTGTGAATTGTTATTTTTCTCTTTAAGGCTCCTCTCAAATAAGGTAATACCTCCTGTATGTTTTAGTTTGTTCTGATTTTAGTTTTGTACTTAGCTCCCCCGTCATTTTTAGTGGTTGTAAATTGTAATGCTGTTACTTTGAAAAGTTTTGCGGAAGGAAAATTTTTAGAAAAATATTTTGTTTTTCTTGTACATTACTTGTAATTTTTAATACTTTATGTCTGTTTTCTAGGATGAAAACGATTTTTCCCCAATACTGTATTAGGAATTAAAGAAACCCAACTTGGTAAAGATGTTTGTGTTTTCCCTGGTTCTCCTCTTCATTTTATATATATATATATATATATATATATATATATATATATATATATATATATATATATATATATATACATATATATGTGATATCAAGATATATATATATATATATATATATATATATATATATATATATATATATAATAATAATAATAATAATAATATTAATAAAACGTCCAAATAAAAATAAAATATGATTTGCTGAAAAATAGCTAGTAATAAATTTGTTCTTGCAGTTTTGCAAAGTCTGATGTTTGCAAATTTGTTCTATCAGCATCCACTTGTACAGTGCAGACAAAAGCTTAATATACAGCTGAAGCCCTGCAATAATGCATATACTGTGCACTACAAAGTATGCATTACATAAAAAGCAGGATACTGGGTATGCAAAATCATTTTTGAAAAAATTATTTGTTACAAAATGATCACAAGGTTTGAGTAACACGAAATCTGGGAGTATGTTTACCTGTTTTCCATCTCGCTGAGAAATGCAAGAATGAAAATAAAAATCTCAGTATTGAACACCGTCAAGAAAACAAACTAAACTAACCTGACACAGATCAAAATATTCAAACTTTTACTAAATGCAGACATAGTTTGGTGGTTAGATTATTTTAAGGGTAGATTCTAGTAGTGGTAGGTAGGTAGGTTGAGGGGCAAGTTAGGTTTGGTTGTGGGCAGGTTAGGTTAGGCATTGGTTGAGTTCATAGCAGGTTCAGTTTGGCTATGTTTACGAAAAGTTAAGTTAGGTTAGGTTAGCCTATTGTTAGGTTGGGTCTGATTATGAAGATTTTTCCCAATACAATATTTATATATTTGAGAGAGAAAGAGTGAGAGAACTACGTGCGTAGAGAATAAAGGTACAGAAATAACAACTGAGGTCACTCCTGTCTATCACGAGTGAGTAAATTAGGAAAAAAATATACAGTACTCATTAATATATTCTTGCAATTTATATCAACAAGTTTGTGACACTCAAGAAATGTGCATGTTTCGTGGTACTGTAGTATACTGTATTCCTTAGTGTCAAAAAATCATGCCTGAAATAGAAGTGCTCGTCTTCAGTTTTGAGATTGTTCTGACCATTACCCTGTGTAGCAAGTTTGTGGGAGGACTTTTGCTGGCAACTGTACATAGAGGAAGTAACACCATATCGGCTCAGTGAAAACCCTAGTTGGTAACATTTTTACTTGGCCCCGCCTCTTTGTCATCTGGCTTCTAAAATACATAAACATTATTATGGGATCGTTTTTCTGATCCAAATTTATGGGAAGAAACTTAATAAATTGGACATTTTGCCATAAATATGTAACATATAATATATATTATGAAATATGCAATATACTTTACAAAATATACAATACATATTATGAAAACGATCGAATTTGTGGCGACTTTTTTCTGGAATGGAAAGTTAATATTGTATTGTAAGTAAAAAATAAACTATTTACGAGCTTAAAATTCAGGAATTAACACAGTAAAAAAAAGTCAGACACAAATCTTTAGGCAATAATAAAATAAATTATCTAGATCACTTTAAGAATCGCGCCTTCACAGTTGCCAAGATGACCAACTGGGCGAAGCTAAGTGACACGCTGAACGAGCATCCGATGAGTGATTAGTTTCCATTTTTTATTCAGTTCCAGTGGCTCCAATCGCAATAAAAAAATAATCGACACTATCTTTTATGCTCAGATTTTGTCTCGATAACTACAGAGCCTTATAAAGAGTGGTGTTACCTCTCCTTCTGTATACAGTACCTTGGTTCTCACGACTTATGCCCTGACAATCAACAGTTTACTGAACCGAGACCTGAGTGTGAATTGTGATGTTTATATTAAGAAAGGAGTATTTGGATCACCTGGAAATTAACTCCCAGCTTATTTCACCGTATTGAGATTAGGTTAGGTTATGGGGTGGTTAATGTTAATCTTTAATTCATGCAATTCTAATTATTATTTTTTTATCGTTATGACCTTTATTGTCCAGTGTTAGCACAGGAGGACACCGGAATACCCTCAGTAAATCTGCCGTGTATGGTTGTGTCACACTGGATAACACCATTCTCAGTTGTCACATCTGTCTCCGGCTGGGGATTGAACCCAGGATAAACAGTAGTGGTGCAAGGTATACTCATTATCGCTGTATATCAAGGTGAAGGAAACTGGTGGTGGGGGGGGGTAATTTCCAATTGATCCCAATACATAAAACGTACAGGCATAGGCATACCTCTTATAACGGAGCATCATCTAAAATATTTTTGCTAAACTGATATGAAGAAAAAACATTCAATAAATATAATGGTGCTATTAAAATTAAAGAAAAACTTTCATGAAACGCAGCAGAACCATCAAACATGTCCTCAGCCATTTATACATTAAGAATTAGCACTGTCATGAATGCATTTCTATAAGCACTATTGACTACAGTATGTTATAATGACTTCTTAATGGATTAACCACTAGCCAGGAGGGTATCTTTTCCACTATAAGAGGTCTGCCTGTGCAGTACTACTTGTGAACTTACCGACATTCCGGGTAATTCCGGAATAGCCGTGTTCTCCTCCAGTTGGACCAATGACGGCGGTGAAGTTAGTGGTGGCGCGAATGACGTTTGCTGACCAGGGTTGATAGCGTGTTGTCTCATGTCCTCCTCCCGCCAGCAGGGTACACGAGTTGTCTCCCGTTGCCCTGAAGTCTAGGTTCACATTACCTGTCAAGAAATACCACCTCGATGTAGTCTACTGCTGTACAGTGTTCGGATTTAACACTGAATTTTTTTAAGGGTTAGACTTGTATGTTAGCCCCAGCTTATTGCACCGTAAGATTAACCACCTTAATGTTAATCTAGCCTCGCATAACCTAATTCCGCCAAGTGGCATTGAAGTGTTTAGTTGTCAGGTGCAATAAGCTAGGGGGACTGATCTTCATGTGTTTCTTTTTATCAAACTGTGATGCATTGGAACATATCCTGTAAACACTAACTGAGTTAAGGGAACAGTCTATTATGCAATAAGCTAGGGGGACTGATCTTCATGTGTTTCTTTTTATCAAACTGTGATGCATTGGAACATATCCTGTAAACACTAACTGAGTTACAGTCTATTATGATGTATTTTGACTAATACATTCATGTACAAGTACCATCACCAATACAGTATTGTATCAATGGCTCTTCACAAGATTCACAGATTTTTTTAATTAATAAATGGATAACTGTTTATGCAGTATATAAGGTGTTGATACTTAAAAGAATATTTACTACCGAGTCAACATGATGCAGGGTGACCCAAGTTACTTTATAACTAATAATAGTGAAAGAATGGTCAATTTACAGTAAAGGACATAATTAGATATATTTTTTTATGTATAATGATAATTTCATGCAAAATCAAATTGATTTTCTTCTATGAGACTTTTTGCGGATTTTACCCATAACCGAGATATCGTGAAATGAAAATCATCAAACTACTGGAACAGCTACAGTATTATTGCGCCAAAAGTGTCATTAAAAGAAAATCGTCTTTTTTTTTAAACCCTTGTCCTCTACGAGAAAGTGACCGAAATAATCGCTTAGTTAATAACCCTGGAGAGTTTTAACCTAGGTGTAACATTTCTGAGTTACTTGTTATTACATTATTTTTTTTTTTATGAATGCAGACTGTTCTTGTTTGCTCTCCATATTGTACTGTATATGCTTCAAAGAAATGTGTTCTTCAGTATTAGATGTCTCTTCCCCTATAGTACCATATTTCTTGAGCTATGAATCCACCTGTTATCCAGTGAGACCCAACCAAACATCACATGTTTCCCGGTCCCCGGTTTCCTCCTGTACTAACACTGGACAGACCAATCGCCCGAACGGCTAGTTAAGTGACGAAAATTAAAAAAAAAAAAGTCTTTCATCACAGCAACTGATACAACTCTTCTAGCATACACCCATCTTGGTATCATACATCAATTTACATATGCGGCCGCCACATACTGTAGTCCCCTTTACAGCACATCCACTTTACTTTACAGTATATTTAATACAACTACGTTTGAAACTTATTCACACTTTTTTCCCATCTAATATATACCTACTGTACGTGTTTACACTGTTTCTTGTACACACATATACTCTGTTATGCAAATGTCCATTAACTTTCCCACAACTCGCTCGTATCACAGCTTCAATAATTAATTAACATATACCTGTACGTCTGCTTTACACTCCTCTTACTCACTCTTGATCTCAAGATCCTCATGGTAGTTGGCCTCCTTGCGAGCGTTAAGTTGACCAATGGCAGCAATGACGGGAATATTATCTGAGTAACGGGAGATGGGCATGTCCAGCTGGTCATTGGTTTCATATGGCCGACTGAATGTGATGGAGGTTATCCCATCCCGGCGTTCACCACCAATTACAGATGCATCATTCCGACCGTTCACCTGCTCGTCAGGACATACTCCAGATGTCCCGTCACACTGCAACAATTAAGAGACTTGACTGTACCGATAGCACTTGCCAATACAGGATGGTATTCATTATTGTGTATCTTTGTAATGTAGATGTTTTTCCTGACAGGCATTCAACAGATCCTCCACGGAAGTGTTAAAAAGGTACAAAAAAGGGACAGGGAAAAAAAGATCCAGATCCCAATGCTCAAAGTGTGAAGGATTTTGTATTTAGATTTATTTAAATCGATCACCTGAAAATTCATCCCCAACTTAACCCACCCTGAAGTGTGACCACCACAACACTACCTGGGGGAGGGGGCGAATCTTCAGTCTTCAGGTGATTCGCGTTTTGTACAGCTACGGTCTTGGCTTGTAGGTGCTGAGAGTGTGTTGTTATGTCTGTGTTTGTTATGATGCGAAAAACAAAAACTATTGGCTGCTTCGGGTATTCTGGGTTGTTTGAAATCATAATTATATATGTAACTAATGTTCTCGTTTGAGGCGGTTCAGAGTGGGGGCTAGCCTAGTGGCATGTCTGAATATTTTTGAGGTTCTTGTCTTTTTTCTAAGTGGAGCATCCACAGTGGAAACGTGGATAGAATAAATCTTGATAAAATCACACAGGAAAATGGAAGCGCTGGAGCACCTTAGCTTTCGTCTTTATTCAAGACATCTTCAGAGGCAACTGAAGATGTCTTGAATAAAGACGAAAGCTAAGGTGCTCCGTTGTTTTTCATTTTCCTATGTGATTTTATCAATATATATATATATATATATATATATATATATATATATATATATATATATATATATATATATATATATATATAAGTTTGAAATGTACGTTACTATTTGATTGAAAGTACATACTGTATATGCTATATGCTATTTCTTCTATATTATTTTATACTTCTTGCAGTAAATAAAATAACCGTTAAATTATTTTTAAGTTTTACATACATTGATCAATAAGATCATAAGCTCTGTTTTAAATTAATTCTTTACAATAGTTACCTACAGCTTCTCAGCATCTACCATTTTTTTACTGATAAATATCACCCAGGACGTGTATGGTAGACTATAATGTAACAAATATTGCGTAAACCGTATAAGACATATTGATAGATAATAACTTATTCAGTAAAATAGCCGTATAAGTTTACCTTGATTCAGGTAGGGTGTCAACCTCGTTCTGATTAGTCTAATTTAAACGTCATCAAATTGTCTTTATATTTTTAGCTATTTTCAATTCCTACAACTAATACTTGCAGGAGCGGTAGATAGATATTTAGTGGCTGCCCCTCGAGATATTTTGGAGAGGGACTTGAAAATAGAGAAGAGAGAGAGAGAGAGAGAGAGAGAGAGAGAGAGAGAGAGAGAGAGAGTTGTGGCCGGGTGTCGTGCGGCACTTAACCTTCTTTAAGAGAGGTAAGTTAACCGTTTGGACATATATAATAACAAAGTACATTAGGGGTTGATAGATTGGTCCTAAAGTCAGTGTGGCGAAAATAGTATCATAGTTCTCCTTGGTTTAATGTCCCTAAAGGAGTGATTTCTGTACGTGTATTTTGACATCTGTTCGTCTTGTACTTTGTGTTCTCCGCCAATTGTCAGCTGTCTATGAGGTTAAGTGGAAGGCAGAAAGTGATAAACAAGGTCGATCTTAGCTGAATAACCTAACCTAACCTAACCTAACCTAACCTAAGCTAACTTGTATCGATATTATTGTATATGTACGTCGCCTACAGGTTTCGTATTTTTTAGTAAATTTTATTCAACAATTATCCCTCTTGCTAATAATACTTACAATAACCGCCTGAAGTTATGTTCAGTTTGAATACTTTGTTAGGTTCAGCTTGGAGTGTAGTATGTTCAGTTTTATTTGTGTTAGATTATATTTTATTAAGCTTAATTAGTTTAGGTAAGTTTATATCACCTCAGGACACCTTCAGGTATGGCGAAATATTATATGTATTCCAAGCCCTCACCTGTTCACCAATCTTCACCTTAGTTACAATCCCTCACCTGTTCACCAATCTTCACCTTAGTTGCAATCCCTCACCTGTTCACCAATCTTCACCTTAGTTACAATCCCTCACCTGTTCACCAATCTTCACCTTAGTTACAATCCCTCACCTGTTCACCAATCTTCACCTTAGTTACAATCCCTCACCTGTTCACCAATCTTCACCTTAGTTACAATCCCTCACCTGTTCACCAATCTTCACCTTAGTTACAATCCCTCACCTGTTCACCAATCTTCACCTTAGTTACAATCCCTTACCTGTGATTTGGCAGTAACACTGTAGTCTATGGCGTGGAAAGAGCCGTCGTCTTTGTCATAGTAAGCGACCACAATATCAGAGTTGAGCATCTCGGGTCTGTTGGAGGAAGTAGAGACACGACTTAGCCAGCCAGCCATCACCTGAGTTTTACCTGGTCGCCAATTTGATAATTACTAGGGATCACCTGAAGAATAACCACGCTAACTTAATCTAATATAATTTAACCACTCTAACAGTACCCAAACCTAATCTAACTTAACCACTCTAACGCTAACACCACCTTACCACTAACCTAACATAATCTAACCACCCTAACGCTAGCCTAACCTAATCTAATTCAACCACCCTAACGCTAACCTAACCAAACCTTACCTAACTTAACCACTCTACCGCTAACCTAACCATCTTGACACTAACCAATATAACCTAACCAGTTACCACCCTAACGCTAACTTAACCACCTTAACTCTGACCAAATGTAACCAAATTTAATCACCCTAACGCTAGCCTAAAATAACCTTACTTAACCACTTTAACGCTAACATTACCTAATTACCCTCCAGGTAGCTTTAAAGTGGTTGATCTTCAGGTGAAATAAGATAGATGGGCCACTCTTCAGGACTCTTTACCTAAATCTAATGTCTGTTGAGCCATTATTGTAACTTGTTTATGTTGAATAACCTGTATACACAACTTACTATTTACTGTATGAACATAATATACCAAACATAATTACAATGTTATAATAATTGTATATATTTTTGTACTCAATCGTCACCTTTTGTTCTAATCACTCACCAGTTCACCAATCGTCACTCTGTGTGTGTGTGTGTGAGACTCACTTGCCACTGGTCGGGGAGAGGCCAAATGCTATGTACTGGTTCTCGCCCATCCTGGCAGTGAGGCGGATGAGGACTTCTTGCTCCTTTGCTTGCCACTCTACCTGCAGATCATCACTTAGCTGGCGGCAGTTGTCGAACTCTGAGGGCGTGATGTGGGCCTGAACACCCATCAGGAGAACAGAAGAGGAAGAACTAGTTAAAGACTATTTCCTATTACTGGTTTCATACAGAGTAAGGTTTATTTACGGCTTAGGAAAAGGTATTCGGTGGTCTGATCTTCCGGGAGGTTCTGAGTGGTTGACGTGAAGTTAGTGATTTTAATTTCTATTTTTTAAGATGGGCTTCCAGGATGTTTTGGGTACCTGAATTCTCCAGATATTAAGATTACCGAATGCCATATATATACACGCACGTACACACACACACACACACACACACACAACTAAACGGTACATAAACGTTACCATCATATTACAGTGTTTAGGACTACCAACTGTAGTCATCCGTGTGTGTACAACAGAGACCTACACACCACACGTTATTATATACACTACAGTACACTTACAGGATGTGAACGGTAAGATATTAGAGTAAGAATATATCAGTTAAAGTCTCACAATTAATTATTAAGAGTATTTCCCTGTTACATTAAAGAAAGAGGAAGATTGTTTGTCGTATAGAAATAATAAAAGGAGCCAGTCTATAATGAGGATAAAAGGGGGAATTAGTCGTTATAACACAATAAAGACTTCAGAATACCCGAAGAAGCTTTATAACGTCGAGGAAATAAGAAAACAGTACGCTGGGAGAAGGGGAAATGGGTCTCTGTTCAGTTCTAATTACAAAGCATGGCATAGTTGTTACTGAAGCAACAGGGGGGGGTCAGTGTGTGTGTGTGTCTCGGGCTAGTGCTTAGTAATGTTCACCGAATAATTTAATTAGTCCAACTAGATTATCTTACCTTAAAATTAATCACACTCATGCTAAACTAACCTAACCCAAGGTAATATAACCTAACCTCATATAGCCTAACCAAACCTAACATAACCTAATCCAATCTAACATAACCTAACCAAACCTAGCATAATCAATTCATCCTAACCTAACCTAACGATAACCTAACCTAACGCTGATCTATTCCAACCTAACTTAAACTAACCTGATCCAACTTAACATAATCTAACCTGACCTAACCTAGCCTAACTCCTTACAGTATCGTTAGGGTGTTTTAATCATCAGGTGCAGTAAGCTGGGGCTAATCTTCAGGTGCAGTAAGCTGGGGCTAATCTTCAGGTGCAGTAAGCTGGGGCTAATCTTCAGGTGCAGTAAGCTGGGGCTAATCTTCAGGTGCAGTAAGCTGAGGCTAATCTTCAGGTGCAGTAAGCTGGGGCTAATCTTCAGGTGCAGTAAGCTGGGGCTAATCTTCAGGTGCAGTAAGCTGAGGCTAATCTTCAGGTGCAGTAAGCTGCAGGTGCAGTAAGCTGGGGCTAATCTTCAGGTGCATCTTCAGGTGCAGTAAGCTGGGGCTAATCTTCAGGTGCAGTAAGCTGGGGCTAAGGTGCAGGCTAAAGCTGGGGCTAATCTTCAGGTGCAGTTCAGGTGCAGTAAGCTGGGGCTAATCTTCAGGTGCAGTAAGCTGGGGCTAATCTTGCAGGTGCTTCAGGAGACTCAGTGGCAGAACATAATGGTGTTATTATGGACGTGTTAGTATTGGCTCAACACTACTGCTTGGGTAAAATAACTGTAAGATTTGCTTTGGTGTGGGTAGAATAGTGGTGTGGGTAGAATAGTGGTGTGGGTAGGGTAGTGGTGTGGGTAGAATAGTGGTGTGGGTAGAATAGTGGTGTGGGTGTGTGGTGGGGGTGGGGTAGTGGTGTGGGTAGGATAGTGGTGGGGGTTGGGTAGTGGTGGGTAGGATAGTGGTGGGTGGGTAGTGGTGTGGGTAGGATAGTGGTGGGGGTGTGGTGTGGGTAGGTAGTGGTGGGGGGTGGGTGGGTAGGGTGTGGTGTGGTGTGTGGTGTGGGTGGTGTGGGTATAGTGGTGTGGGTAGAATAGTGGTGGGGGGTGGGTGGGGGTGGGTAGTGGGTGTGGGTAGGTGTGGGTAGGATAGTGTGTGGGTAGGGTAGTGTGGGTAGGGATAGTGGTGTGGGTAGGTGTGTGGGTAGGATGGTGTGGGTAGGGTAGTGGTGGGGGTTGGGTAGTGGTGTGGGTAGATGGGCAGGGCAGTGGTGTAGGTAAGTTATTAGGAGCTAACACACAGTGGATGCTAAGAATGTGATTGGCTACTATTGAACTACAGTGCTGGTCCTTCATGCAGTCAATTGATACTATGAAAGACTGCCCTGTTAGGAGCAAAATGTTGGTTCCAGTAGACTACTATACCAGTTTTCCTAAATTTTAACTTCTCTGAAAGGCGCGGGGACCAATCGTACGCTCAACATATAGCATTGTGAATCTCAGGTGTGGAAATGAAGTGGGCGGCGAACACTTGTGAATTCCAGGTTTCCGCGCCATAAAGTAGTGGGTGACAGCCAAAGAATAAGACTTGAGTTTAAACGATGACTTTCAATGTTATATTGTACATTTACTTATATCTTCACTCAACCTCTTATATTCACTATACTGCAGTACTCTTAACACACAAAAGGATGCTTATGTGTGAGCTGTTAATAATGGAACTGATGTGTTTTAGTGATACATGGCAACAATGCGTCAATCAGCTCCCACTAACCCCCTCCCTCCCTCCTTCCCTCTTTCAACCAACAATCACACCAGTCCTGTTTAATATACTGTAGTTTTCTTGTACACTACATTTTTAAATTTCCCCCAATTTTTTCTGTATTCATATTGTAAAAAGATATGGAACGTTTGCCCCAGTGAATGTACAAAGAAAAAAAGTCGTGTTACACCCTCCCCCACCCCCCTTCCCTAGCGTTACGTTCCAAACCCCATGACAAAGACTTTGAGTAAAGTAACGGAGAAGCTTGAAGTTCGAGACTAAACGGGGAACTTTATCAAAATGTTTCGTCTTGGGTTTCAGAACATAATGGAAGGCACGGTAAGTGTAACGCGACTTTTTTCTTTGACTGTACAGTCGGGGACAAAAATTCACTCTTCCCAAAATGAAGAAGCACTGACTCTAAGAGATTAAACAGCGCACCCGCACCAGGGTACATAAGTTCGAAGACTCATTCCCACGACTCATTTTCACCATGGAGAGCCAACTTTTGTCCAGGACTGTACACTCTCAACAAAAACTTCTCGAACACCTGGGCACGGTGGGTGTGAGAATGAATAGAATGGGGCTTGTCATATAGGAATGGTTTAAGATTCTTCGTTAATTTTTCAAGTGCTTATAGTGTACATAGACAGTGCTGGTACACAATGTACACGGACAGTGTAGGTATACATACACTGTACAGAGAGAGAGAGCAGGTATACAAACAATAGTTAACAGTAAGTCACTGACCAAAGATAACCTTACTTGGCTTATATCAGAAAAAAAAAACTTGATACAATGACCAGGTAATCGCGAAAGATAGTGTAGTATCGTGTACAGTTGATATACTTGTGCTAGTGTTAGTCAAGTCAGGTAATGAAGGAGTTCACGCTTGTTACTGTCACAAACAATCTTTGACATGTTATTCCAACAGTTCACAACTCTCACTCGAAAGAATTTAACTTAAAAGTTTTCTGTATTTGTGGCTTCTTTAACTTGAGAGTGGAAGCTCTTATGGTGTGACCATTAGCTATTTCCAGATATGCCCATTGCCCAGTGGCGAACTCATACAAAATGGTGGTGGGTCCTGTATACTGAATCTTCAGTATACAAATCTAGTACTACGCTCAATCACCCCACACACCTAGCTGTAAAGTATCTGGTGACCTGGGAGTGTCCTGGGCACGAACTAGTGAACCTAAGGTCAGAAGGCTAGCGCTCAAGTAGGGTTATCAAGGTAGTTTTGTTATAAATGGTCCATTATGGCGCCGTATATACAATAATCTCTAAATGTAATTCATCGACATTTAACGTGTTTAATACAACGCAGAAAATTTATTGAATGTTTTCCTTGAGGTAATGTGGCAATTAATGCTCGCGCATGGTGGCAGCCTCACCAAGACCCAGAGCAGCAACCCTAACTCATGGCTTGTTGGCGTCTATAAAGACCATCTGATACACTAGCCATCCCCATCACCACCAAACATCTAAAATCATTAAACATCTACATTACCAACACCCCCAACCATCTGCCACACCAACACCCCCCCCACAACCATCTGCCACACCAACACTCCCACCACTACCACCAGACTACCTCTAAAGTACACACGTCACCTGACAACCTCACAACACTACCTAAGTACAACACTAACCAGCACTTCCTCATTCAACAAGTTCCTGGGTAATATGACCAGACTATCTCACCTCACACCTAATTGCCCTGTTGACTACCACACACACATTCCTTCAACATGAACCAAAGTGCTTCCCCCAATTATTGTCCAATCACAATCCACTCATGTACTGTACAGTACACTGATTCATATTGTTGTCTCGGAGTAATGCTCTGTTCGTGGATATTGTTTGACAATATAACTTCTCTTAATGTAAGTAATTTTTTTATGTGAGCATTAGGTTGATATTTCTTGCAGTTGTTTCAATATTAAGCTAGGTGATGCCTGTGTATGTGAATAACGTCGACATGGTTGGGGGTTATGTTAACGAGAAGCCACCGGCACAGTATAACAACTTTGCAAATCGGACTTAATTTCTTAAGGGAAAAAAGATCATATTTGTAGACTTTGAAGAACTTGTTACCACCTTCCAAATATCACTTTTCACAAAGAAATAATCACTTTCAAAGGACCCAAACGATAAATGAACTGTATTAAACCCTAAACACGATACAATGTTACTTAGATAATAAGCATAACTTGATGCTGTACTCAGCCATCTCTCACCTGGCTGACACTAAAGGCGGCGTCACACAAGTATTTTTTCTGTCAACTTTTCCGGTTTCCGTAATTTCATCTCCAAGAATTGTCAATTTTTCGAGCCCGTCTCGCTCAGGCGAAAGGTATCGTTTCTACCTGACTGGCTTGCGCCAATTTCTGTGGTCAAGTCAAGACGCTTCCTGACCTAGCTTGGAGAAGGACG